CCTTAACACCTGTCGCTAAACCGATCGTTCACACCCGGCGACGATATCGACCGCCGATCGTAATTCGAATTAATCGCGCGTCTGATGTGTTATTTGATCACACTATATCGACACATCCTAAGCGATTACTGGTAAWTTCTGCAAATTCGTTATGCAATTTTTTTTTTTCACTTACCGTTTTGCGGCCCGTTGGGTCCGAATAATTCAGACCGCGTCTGACAAATCGACCGCACGAGGGAATTCTGCGTGGTAGTGCGCACGAGATTTATAAAATATAATATTGATTTATCGAGGGCGATTTCCAGGGAATGTATTTATCCGTGTATAATACAGACATAACACTAACAACACGGATATAATAATATTTGCTACAGAAATAAAATCGCATACAAGCCCTTAGGGACCACACCGGACGCTTGTATATTATACCTCCCAATATTCTCCCCTATACGGATGACGTGGTCAAAGCACACGATTCTTGGACGAGATAACATAATATTATATCGTTATAATAATCTAATCGGCGATTTCATACGAGTTGTTGTATATTTAATATTWTAATTTATAACAACGAAATGAATAGTAACCGATTATAATAATTATCATCGGACGATTTATTGCTCATTTGAATCGCACCGTCAAAATATAATATAAACAATATATCAATATACCTATCTAATTCGTTTGCAATTAATTTAAACAATAAAATAATATTATATAGTACCTATATTATATTATTATAGAAGAGGTCATAAGAAAGTATATCATAATTTTCCCACTGCAGTGAATACAAATATAATAAATAATAATGTACGTAAACAATTATAATAAACAGGATTCAAGCGTGAATACAAAAGTCAGCGGGAGTGATGCCTACCCATCTCTCTGAAAAAAAAAACGATTAATATACTATTAATTATAAATTATTATATTTTTTTTTAGTCTAAATTTGATTCAAATACAGTTACATCAGCTTCTACAAACTTAGACACTTTATTATTAAAACTATTAGGCATTTATCTATATATGTCAAACGAGCAACGGCAATAAAAAGATATTGTTTTAGAATTTAGTACATTTCTTATCGCACTGAATGAAATAAGATGAAAAATGAACAAAAAAATTAGATTTTTATTTTTTTAGTATCAGTTAGCAATGGAAGTAAAAAAAAAATAATAATTTTCTTATAAAGTTTTTCATTTAATTTTTAATTGCTATTGATAAGTATTAACATGAATTCATTTCCGGAATTCCAATTTAATATAACACTTTTTAATTGCTTGTATTATTATTTACTTGTAGAGTTAGACTATTAACACTTCAATAAAAAGTATCCCTTTCAAGTTTCAGTGTAGGTACCTAAACCGACTTACTAAACGGTTGGTTAAAACTATATTTCTTTACACATCATAGAAATATGTATTGCAAGCACGAAAATATTACATAAATCCTATACTTGAGTACCTATTTGACATGTCACTATGTTCGTAGTTTATTAAATATATTTCCCCTAATAAATACTCTTGTTTTGCGCTTGACATAGTTGCACGTTCAAAACTCTAACAATAAGTATAAAGTAGTACAAAATTTAATAAAGACTTCTAGCTCATCGACAAATTCATATAGATAATAWATCCCCCTACCAGCCCTTACCGTTATCGTCAAAACGGTATTATGTCTTACCWATATAATAGACTTGGCATAAGACGTAAGTGACATTAAATATTTACAACATACACTATTGATTTTTCTGCCTATACTAGCCATGCGATCGACGCGAGAAGGATACAATAATAAWAGCTATATTGCTATTAGATTCAAATCCAATGTAGACCATAAAAAAAAAACGATTCAATTTCTTTATACTATTAACGCAAATTATTTCGTATATAGTCTACAATAGTGTGAAATATTTAAAATAGATTCAAAATATATTTTATATCGAGTAGAGGTCTATATCAATGGTGTATTTAGGAATTTGGTTGGCGGGGGGATTATATGTTTTTAGCAAAATCTATAAGCCTCAAACAGTAACCTACTTCACCAAATATAAAATGTTAGCAGTAAAATAAAAGTTTTGGGGGTATATATTCCACTCATCCCCTCCCTTAATTACACCCCTGGTTCGTATAAAATATTTAATCAGATTGTATATGTAATACTGTAATAATTATGTTATTTACAAGTTACTACTGAAACAACGAAACATACTTATAGCTTTTACAATCATTAATTTTATATGTTTTATATGTTTTATATGTTTTATATTCATTATTCTTTGTTTGTCTCCAATTGTTTGATTAGTTTGCTGCAGTTCTCCACGCTTCCCTCTTGTTACTTAAGTCATTTAATTCTCTGTAGCTATCCGTTCCCACGTCTATCATAATTTATTTCGTGTACCTACTCCGTTCTTGATCTTTTTCTTCCAATATATATTCTTATAAGTTGAATTCTAAAACGCTTTTCGCTAAACTATCATGGCGTTATAAATGTCCTATAATTTTGTCTCTTCTAACTTTAATTCAAATATACAATTCTCGTTTTTTTTTTTTTTTAATTCTGGTTAGTACTACTTCATTTGCTATTCGCTTCAGTCCATTTAATCTTTAACATTTTACGATAACACCACATTTTGAAAGCCTCTTATTTATATCTATCTATACTGTACCAAGTGTCTAAGTTTCACAAATATTGGTGTTCAACAGATGTTTTTTTTTCTGAAAAGTCCTCTTGGTTTGGATTATAACTCATGACAGGTTTATTGTAATTAAATTTTTATTTGGAATGTACAAAATAATATTATTATGCTATACCTATAATTTTAAAAATTCGAGAATATTTTTTTTTATTTATCCTCTCTCAAATGCTTTGTAGAACATAATATATTATATTTGAATAATTTATATAATAATTACTTTATAACGGATGTTCTGGTCCCGGTAGAACCATTCTGTTTGTAGTGCACAGTGCATAATCAATGTATAGTTCACTGCATTATAATATGCGATAAGAGAAGTTTAAAGTGAAGACGAGTTTTATTTGCAATTATTTTAAGCACACATATATAAATGTTTATATAACAATATTAATAATTATTTGATAATGACTAGTTGATTAAAATGTTCTATTATAACATAATTTATAATATACCAAAAATTAAAATGTTAGTTTACTTGCAATACTGCATAATAAGTAATAAGTAATAACAAGAGAGCGGATTTTTCGGTTTTTACATATTTTATTGGCTTTATGCAGTTATACGAGAGTGAAGAATATGGACGATCTATCAGAGATAGTCTCCATCAGAGAAAAAATTTATTTTCCATCTCAAAGCATATTTTGGACAAAAGAGAATATTTAGCCTACTTTTGCTATTTTAGAATCAAATTATAGTCAAATAACTTAGCTGTTACCAAAGGGAATGCGAGTTATACATTGTTTTTTAAATTGATTTAGTTTTTTTTTATATATATATTTCATTATATTCATATAGATAACTAAGTATGAACTGGTTTATGATTTTATAGTTAAATAACTTAGCTGTTACCAAAGGAATGGTTTTCATAAATTAACTATATATATATATATATATATATTATTTTAGATGATACATTAAATTTTTCTTATAGTCTTGCAACATTTTTGATGAGAGTGGTGCTCAATTAAATAATTTTATAGGTAGAGTTTATCAAATAATTATCTAGTCGTAACTCATAAATTATAACATAACAGCTTTTACAATGAATAATAAATTATTGTATAATATTAAAAAATATTAAATATTAAACATATTCAGGTATATCAGATATACAATCAATAATTTTAAATAACACCTTATTTTTATAAATTATCAAATTGATTAATGTAAATTAAAATTGCAGGGGCTAAGGTTATTGTGGCTTGCAGGGACGTCAAAAAAGCGGAACAAGCTGTGACGGATATAGTGGCGGACGTAAAAGGCGATAATCTAGGACAGCTGGTCGTAGAGGAATTGGATTTGGCATCTTTTGCTTCGATTAAACGCTGTGCAAAAAACATTTTGCAAAAAGAAAAACATATTCATCTGTTAGTGAACAATGCCGGTCAGTGTGTGTGAGAGAATAGCTTATATAAGGGTTTGTTAAAACTATCGATATTATAGGGATAATGGCGTGCCCTAAGAGCAAAACCCAAGACGGTTTTGAAACCCAATTTGGCGTAAATCACTTGGGACATTTTCTATTCACATCGCTATTATTGCCAAGAATTCGAAATTCAACGCCAGCTCGCATCGTTAACGTTTCATCGATGGCTCACACAAGTTAGTTTCTACGACTAATACAATTTTTACATAGCTATACTGGATGATTCTTTTAGTATTGAACGGTTATTATGTCAAAAACTACTAATGTTCTATAGAAAAAGAACAAAAATTAAAAAATACATAATTATGGGTACTTTGAAGCCATTACAGAACGACATTTTCAAAAGTATCAATACTTTTAGAGATGATGAGTGTTCACTGTTAAATTAATTATTCTGTATACATATAATATATATAATCGATATAGCTTATATGAGTATATAAATGATCTAAATAAATAATTATTTTCTTCTTTATATGTATAGGAGGTGTGATTAATTTCGATGACATAAACTCCGATACGAATTACTCAGCCATGGTAGCTTACAGTCAGAGCAAACTGGCTAATGTACTGTTTTCCAAGGAATTGTCGCAAAGGCTTGAAGGTAAAATGCATCCAAATATTGGATTGATGTCTCWAACAAACAATAGACTTAATAATAATAATAATAATAATAACACGAACACTCATAGGTACCGGAGTGCACGTGTACTGTCTGCATCCTGGCATCGTTCAAACTGAATTAGGAAGGACTATCGACCAAGTGTACTTTCCGGGAATGCGATTCCTGGCTCGTTTCTTTCTGTATCCGTGGTTGAAGACTCCGGAACAAGGGGCTCAGACTACTTTGCATTGTTCGATAGACGAAAAAGCTGGAGAAGAAAACGGTCTCTATTACAGGTTCGCGATATTGTGTGATACTCAGATTTGTACACTTCTCATTACATTTAAAAATAATATGATATACACTGTTAATTTTTAGCGACTGTAAGGTAAAAGAACCGTCAGCGTTAGCCAAAGATCCAGAATTAGCCAAAAAACTTTGGGAAAAAAGTATAGAGATGGTAGGTGTGAAAGATTACGATATGTTCAACTGCGAAGACACGCTGCCTGCGCCCCTAACAGATGTTTAAACAAATATTTCTAATTTTAATTAATATATATTTTATTTTATTTTATCTATACTTATAAGTTTATAAATATAATATGAGCACGAATTCACATTTTTGTAATAAATTAATTTTTCAACTCCAAAGTTTTTACTATTTAAGCAATTTTTGTCGAACATGTAATTTTTTTTTTTATCATTATCAGTGGGAACTCACGTCATCATAAGTCATTGAGTGTAGGGTGGTACGGTAGCGGTTATTTTTGTGTATTTGTTTGTAGGATTTTAAGTTGGTAGATTTTTTTTTTCCAAAGTTTATTAAGGCTTCAACAACACAGGTTTTTAGCCTACTTTAGTTGGTAGATTGTAACACGTATTTTGTGTATGTGTGGCAAGGATATGTTGCTAAAATTCCCGAGATTTCACCCATTCGGGAGCTAGCAACTGCAGCCGGTATAGGTACGTATTACGCAAAGTGCGTTTCTGCAAATTAAGCGTACGACCGCGTCTCACTAAGCCACATCTCAATTTTATTTTTATACATAGGTTTTACGACGATGCGTGTCTATGTTTATTTTAATTTTATTGTATCAGTCATCAATTATTGGAATAGTAATAGATAATAACGTTTCAATGTTCAATTCTAMGGATGGCTCTGGTAGAAAATAAGATCTAGTTGGGTGGTGAGAAATMAAAAATCTCAGYAATTTTCAAAATAATCGATAAAAACAACAACAAATTAGGTTAAAACGCGAGTTTTACACAAACCTATAGTGTTAATTATGTTAAAATAACTTTTTTTTATTTTTAAAGTAAATAACTGTAAAAATTTGAATCTAGAATTTTCACCAAATACATTTTGTATTGGTGGAAGTTTCTAAATATGTATGCATGATGCATTTACTATTCTCATTCATATTTCTATTAATTTTAAGCTATTTTTCTACAAAATATAGGTACTGTTCGTATTTCGTAATAGCATAATAAACATTATACCTCAAAATCATATTTATGAATTATGAACTTGTCAATTGTATGAATATTTAGATCATATAAAATCTTTATAATATACATATTTGGTWATCTCGTTATACACAATCTAATCTAATAGTCTAAATTATACTTCAAAATAAATTATTTGTCTTAAATGTTCAACATATTGCCTATACTTAACCCCTTTTAATAAACATAAAACTAAGAAGTTGCAAGCTAGCATGTTCTTTTAGATCAGGTTATGTGTATAAAATCAAAATATATTTATCTATAAATAAATAGATAGAATACGCGTTAGTATTCGATGAAAACTAATAACCGTAGAGATACTTGAGATTTTCACTAAATGCTTATAATTTAAGTTAAAAATATTTAGACAATTTTTGGAAATGTTTTAGGTACAAAGTTATGTTTTAAAAATAAACTATAATGTCACATATAATTTGCTTATAAGCTTTATGAAACATTTAATTCCGATCTCTGAGTACAAGCCGTATATGAAACATTTCATCATAGATGATATATTGATATATTATACAACATTACTACGTATTATCCTAAAAGCAGAGATGGGCAAGTTATAATTGAACAGAACACATCATGATCGATAAATTGAAGTTAACAGTTAGCAAATTATAAATTTAACTCGATAAGATAAACGTTAATATGGAAAAAGTATTAACTTAACTCAGTTTAAAAAAAAATTATATAATATATAATTTGTTTTTAATTATTATAGAAATCWCATAAACAATAAATGTGTCTACATAATCTAATGAAACACATTAATATACAAAATTATTTTATCAAGAAAAAGAATAGAAATGTTTGTGATATTAAAATTTTGGATAATTTTTATTTTATATCAATATTTATTTATGTAAAAACAAAAAATTTCAAACTGTTTTTAACTTGATGTATTATTTTTAAATCAACTGAGAAAAGCTAAATCATCTCAATTGAAATTAAACTAGTTAAGTTTATAAGTTGATTAGAAAATAAACTTACCTAGTTAAGTTAAAAAGTTAAAAAAACATTTTAAACTCAAGTTTRACTTTTAACTAGTTTATGCYTACCTTTGCCAAAAAGCAGTTAATATCTCACGCCTCGATAGGTTTTATGAAATATTGGTAAACAATTTCATGATTATTAAACAATTAACGTATCAACGAAAGTATAWCAACTATAATAAATAATAAACCTTACTTGTTGACTTGTTTTTTAACATTATAATTAGTTAGGTAGCAAAAAAAAAAAATATATAAAAAAAATATACATAAAAAAAAAAAAATAATGTACTTATTATACAATAATAATTATATAATATAATGTATATAATAATACTAGTGTGTAAATAATTAATGTACTGGTTTATCATTAATTATCATTCACAAACAAGTAACAACTTCTTAGTAAGCATCTATTAATAGATAAATAAGTAAGTACAAATTTTTTAATTGGTCTTTGTTTTTACAAGAGATTAAAACCTACTTAATCAGCTCTAAAAACCTTCATTATTCTACATTATTCGGAAGAAAACCATTGYAAATTGGTGTACCACAAATTAGTATGTACGACGTGTAAATAGATGAAGTCAGACCATTACTCATAAGGTAGCAATTAAGCTCTATTAATTAGAGACATTGGCATTAATATATTCTCAATACGTTAATCATTTCAGCCTTCTGTAACGGAGTGAAGGAAATAGAACAGCATAAACAACAATATAATATTATGATGTTGATGTGTAGATTCGCGAAGGAATCCGATCAACGCGGCCACTGACGACTATAAAAAAATAAATAAATAGTGTCCCGCAATACCCGTGTACTCTAACATAGCAGACCTATTTTATAATATTGTATAACAAATAATAATGGTACACGTGTGTGACGAAATATTAATGAAAAATATTCTGGCAACATCACAACTATTATTGTGGGTACAACACTGTAATGAAAAATCCGGAACGAGCTACAATACAACTGGTGTGCGAACGAAATCATAAAATATAAAATACCGGTCCGTGCGAAGAACCGAATCAACTTTTTTTATAACAAACTATGCGCCTGGCGGGCGGCGCACGGCTGTTCGGTCAGATCGACGCGCACGCACGCGATGCACGCGACCATGTCGGTCTRCGGGAATATTAAATATTATTATCGCGTTATTCATTGCTATGATATTTGTATTACTTTTACAATATTATTCTATGCCGATGACGATTCGGGACGATAACCGACGGACGTCAGCCGGACAAGACGCACGTCCTACCACASTATAATGCCTGATTTTCTGCATCGTGGTCTGATGTCGTTATTGGTTATAAATCTACCATACCGTACGGTTACGTAGGTACTAACAACGGTGTTTGTAGACGACAGCACACCTGCAACGACTGCTGCAGTCGACGGTCATCGTCTGGATACCTCTAACCAGTTGCGTTCTGCATCGACGGTCATCGTCAAGTCGTGCACGCACACATATGGTACACACACACAGACCATTACTATACCCATTAGGTAGGTACCTATATCATTATATATATTATTAAATCGTATAATATGCATTGGTGTTTTAAAATGATCGTAGATAGCAAAATGCATAATAATATACACCTATGAATATTATGATAATATTATTACATGTACAGAGTGCATCGGGAGAAGGGGTATAATAWTATGATTATTTTACGTTTAAGTTGCATTTAAACAATTCTTATTTTTGGTACACTCTGTACACAATATTGTGTATATACAGGATAATTTTTTAAGCATGCTCATCCAATTTTCACAATATTGTGTATATACAGGATAATTTTTTAAGCATGCTCATCCAATTTT